TGTGCCTGATCTTGAAATCCATGATCCTGAAAAACCCTCCTGCAGCTCCCTATGGCATATGGGCCACTGATGTGCCCAAAAGACCAGTTCAGGCGATGGGGAACTGCAGAGATCCCAAGGCCGTACATCAGGTGTGGGGGAGCCTCAGTTCTCTGGTGAACCACTTGTTCCCACCTCTGCTGTGGCCCACGACTGGCCTTCTCCCACTCTGCAGGGATTGGGAAGTGACCTGAAGCCGTGGCCTCCTGGGGAAGGAAGGTGAGCAGAGACTCGATGCTGTCTTTGTTTTCATTGTAGCCCAGAGACAACTTGGCAGAAGTGTCCTTTCCACTGCTCACCACTCAGGGTTCCCTCTGTGACTTCTTTAACCCAGAAGGCTGCCCCCACCGCCAATTGTATACGGGGAGATAGGCGAGGAACAGCGTAGTGACACTGCTAAGGTAGAGCAACACAGCTCGACCACAGACTTACACAAATGCCTTTACATGTCAGTAGCTTTGTTTTGTTTTAACATTTTATTTAGGAGTAATTATAGATTCAGAGGAAGTTGCAGTAGAATGTACAGGGAGGCCCATAAACCCTTCACTCAGTTGCCCACCATGATAACATCCTGAATAACTATAGAACCCCCATTATCACAGCTGGGAGAATAATGTTGTGCTTCCTCAGTCCACAGAGTCTATTCCGATTGCTCTGGTTTTACATGCACTCACGGGTGCATATCGGTGGCTTTGTGGTCAGTGAGCTTATTTTGCATGTCTCCATTTATTACTGAGGAAGACATCATGTAAAAGATGGCATCACTTCAGACTTGACAATCTAGTTGTATTTTCATTTTTAATTTTTTTTGGAAGAGAATACATATAAACGGTTTTTCAAAAAAAAAATTAAATACTACTTTTACTCCCAGCCATAGCCCACCCATTACCCATTTTCTTCCCTAGGAATAGCTATTTCTACCATTTTCTTCAATATTCTTCCCAAAATATTTTAAACCGTCCAAGTATATACTCGCGCGCGTGCACACACACACACACACATACACACACACACACACACGTGTCCCCGTTCCTTTTTTTAAAAATGTATGGCAGTATCAACTCTTTTGTGCCTTGCTTTTTTCCCCAGAATAGTATTTTAGCTCTCATTTCACATTAGTGCTTATAGAGTTGCCTTGTTCTTTTCAGTGATTATATAGTAACCCAGACAACTTTGTGGAGAAAACTGGGCCACCTAATTTCTCTCTAAAAATAGTTCAGGAGTGTAAGAAGGCAAACAGTTTTTTTGGCTATAAGACTTCTTATTCAGACAGCACATGAAGTTGAGTTAAAAAATAATATGCCATAATAAAGCTTTATTATTACCTATGTCATACTTTGGGATCTTTGTTAAATTCCAGAAATATTTGTATATTGGGTACAACAGTAAATGCTTTAAAGAATATGAAAATCCCTATCCACTAAAAGCTTACAGGGGACAAAACAAAAATACATAAAACTAAATTTAAACAGTGTATTTATGGCTGTTTCATACAGTTGATCAGAGAAATATGACATGCTAGAAAATATTAAATCTGGCTTCTAGGTTTGGCACTGCTTTTTTCAAAATACCTAATCTTATGAGGTCAAGGATCAGCAAACCGTAGCCCAGAGGTTTTATTGGAACAGATCGATACCCATTTATTTGTGCATTGTTTGTCTATGGGTGTGTTTACACTACAGCAGCAGAGTTGAGTAGTTGCAACAGCAGCCTCCCACAGAGCTGAAAATATTTACTCTCTGGTCCTTTATATAAAGAACTTACTGACCCATGTTTTAGGTAACTATAGAAGTATATTTCATTTATAACCAATTGTTAGCTATAGTTAAAATTTTAGTTGCATGTGTTACACAAGGACTATAATCCCCAGTTTTGAGATTGTTGCTTGAAGTGTTTCTTGTTCACTATTTTGAATTAATCTCCCTCTCTCCCTGCATTTCCTCATCAACAGAAACTGGCTCAGCATCAGCTCTCATTTCTACTTGATCAGTCAGCAGATTGATTAAAGCTTTTCAGGACAGATTCTGTCTTCCCTCCACATGCCCAAGAAACCAAACATCGTGCCTGCCTGGCACATTTTAGGGGTTAAGTTTGCCATAAGTAGTTGAACAAGTCATAGCCCCCCTTTCAGCTAGTTTCTTATGAAGATCACACAAATGCACACGAAAGTGCTAAATAACCACACGGTAGCACAGCAAGAGTCAGCTGA